CACTCCGTAAATTTTTACTAACATTCTGGAAAATTTGCTCTAGTGGAGTGTACCATAAGTCACATCCACATGGAGTATTATTTCTCACCAAACATGAGCATGTTTAGCAAAAACCAGCAAATTTTCATTCTGTTATATGGTAAGTCATCATGATGTATATCAAGTATTTGTCTTAGTTGGTTCTGTCAGAAGTAACAAACTTGGTGGTCTTCAGTATTTGTGATACCATATTTTAGTGGCTGATAACAGCACAGTACATATTCTTGCACTCATAGCTGCTTGTACAAATGGTATATGTTGCATTCATCAGTGCTACATTCCTAAATCTCTGTTGACACCACTTCATCTTGATGCGCAGCAATGAACACCCATACTAGATCTGGTTCCTTTAGTTGCTCACATCAGAGCTCTTGAAGCATTAATTGTGTTATCCAACCATTAGTAGAATCTTCTACCATATGGTTTCATGTCACTATTGCAGAAATGGCTTGAACTCCAGGATGATGCCCAGAGTCAGAACATTCTATGAATGGAAGGGTCTTACCATATGACAGGAATTTTAAAGTTCATGAGTCACTTCAGCAATGGATGGTACACCTAAATGGTGAACTTTCTACCATACAGATAGTGTTTGATGGACACAACAATTGTAAGCAATATTTTTTCACCATGTTGTCATGCAGTATATGTATTCAGGAGCTGTGAGCATACGGTAAGCATATCTGATTACACATTCCACTCTGTCTTACAACTGTGATAACATTGCCTTGATTATATTATTGATGGCATCAGTATAAAAAAGAACTCACAATCCCTTTGTGGATATGCCAACTGGAGCTTTAACTAAAGGTCACTTTAAGAATAGGAATGTTTTTTCACACTCCTTGGTCAATCTAAAGCATTACCTTTATTGAGAGAACAGATAATGATGTGGCTGTCTTGGAGAAACTGGCCACAAAACATTGGTGATAATACACAAAATCAAGGAAACTGTGGACTTCTCATTTAGTCATGAGTTGGGACCAGTCTCGCACCACTGTGATCTTCACCGGGTCAGTAGAGATTCCATTTTTACCCACAATATGACAGAAAGTTCTATCTGCATGCACCCTAGCTTACCCTTCCCTTGTTTTATCTTCTAGCCTGACTTTCTTATCTAATGGAGTACCATGCTCATATTTTCAGCACCAGTCAAACACCATGACATCATCGACATGAACCGACATCATTCCTACTACAAACTCTTTAGTGTAAGTGTAATTAAAACTCATGCAAACTATCGTCAGTGCTGAAAGTAGTCTTAGGTCTGCCCTTCTCATCTCGTTCAACTTGATAGTAATTGAATGTTATTTCTAAAATATTGAA